CAACCGTAGCTCGCCCTTGCCTCGGGCAATTGTTTTGTCGTAGGGCACCTCTCTCCCTCTCTCCCTCTCTCTCTCTCTCTATCTCTCTCTTCTAAACAAATATTGACCATTTGCCTTTTGCCAATTTGTTTGCATTTTACGAAAATATTTTCATTTACAATGCTCTGCAGAGCTCTGGCCGGACTGCCGCTGCGCTGATTCGGCAATTGGCGATATCGACAAAAAAAAATGCAAAAAGAAAAATAAAAGAAAGAGAAAAAACATTTTGCAAATACGAAAATTGCCTTGATTGGTGAAGGGCAGCTCAGGGCTGGGCATTGCGAATTTTCATTTTTAATACAATAAATATGCTCCCCTAAGCCTAGCTCGCTCTCCCTCTCTGTCTGCCTGTGTGCGGCTAGGCTATCATTTTCTGGCTCTTTTATGACTCTGCAATTGCTTTTTGATTATCTCTGTGCGTTGTTTGTGTGTGTGTGTGTGTGTTTGAGCTTTCGTTGTGGCTGTGTGCATCTGTGTGTCGTGGATGGACCAAGTGAACACAAATTGAGTTCTCGGCTAAGCGTTGAAAATAGTTTTCAACTCTGCATCTTGCCTCTCGCTTTTTGCCATCTCTTTCTGCATCATATGCATGTGTCTCTGTCCCTGCATGGCCCTGTGTCTCTGCGTCTCTGTGTGTGGCATCTAAAGTGCCAAAGCTTGTACTGCCGTTAGTTTGTATTACCATTTCTTTTTTTGGCAACGGACTTGTTTAAGACTGGCCCCCGAAAGTGTTGGCTGGGCGGTGGGGGGGGAGTTATGCTCGGGCAGCAACTTTTTTGTTCAACAACAACATTTTGTGCTTATGTTTTATGTAAAGCCTTAAATGGAGTTTCTTCCAGCTGATAGGCAGGGCGGGAGGAGCAGGAATGTTGTACCGTAAAGTGGCTTATCATAATTTGTACTCTCTTCGGTTGCAGCAACGCCAGACAGAGGGCTTTTCTGCAGTTCCAATGGAATGCATTGCCAGTGCAGAGAAAAACCCAATATTGAACTTTTATTTCAATATTTTACTAAAATTTGCAGCAATTTTGATAAAGAATTTTTAAGATTTCTTGTGAATTAGCGAGAAATATTCATGGCCATGATCGGGAGGTTTTACATAATTTGATAATCCATTTCTCAGTGCTGCCAAGAACCATTCCCTAAGCATTAAATTCTGATCATTTGAAATCCATTTGCACATCCGCACCCAACGTACCCAGCGTCCCACATCAAAGCAAAGCCAACGGAAACATATTTCATTCCCATTACAGCAACTCTTTGTCTACTGGAAAGACTAACCCTACTTCCGCACCCTTCTCCCTGCTCAGTATTTTAATGCATACCAAAGTCGAACCACTAAACAGTTTTAAATTTGCATAAAAATCCGTTTTATTAACATTCAAAGGCGATTCGTATCGCGGCTAAATTGAAGAAAAGTAGCTGCAGCCTGTGATCCCTTTCGCCCGTCCCAAAATCTTCCTTTGGGGCGCCAGCAAACAGAACCCTGAGCAAACTTCGAGTCAAGATTGAGTCAAGGGAGAGACTGGGAGGTGGTAGGGATGGGGCAAATGCCATGTAAATGCTCTTAGAGTCCACGGGGAAGAAAAAAAAAGTGTAAGAAAAATTCCTTTTGCACTCAACAAAGAAGAAATAAATAACTTTCGAGTCAGATTAGCCAACTTGTCACGAAATGCAAAATGACATTTAATACCCAGCTAGGACGAGCGAAAGGACATCGTCCTGAGTGCTCCTTCTGGCAGCAGCAGCAGCAGCAGCAGCAGCAGCAGCAGCAGCTGCCGTCGTCCGTTCCGTTCCGCAGAGTGAGAGTGAGAGGCAAAGGAATCCAAGACGCATGTCGACCAAATGGCAATGCGATACGCGACGATATACATGACTGGACTTGACTTGCACTTGGCAGGAGAAAACATGAGAAATTCCTTAGCCAAAGCGAAGGACATGAACGTGAGCAGCGTAGACGTTTGCCCCGCACTCTGCCACAGACCAGTCCTGGACGACAGGCGACATTGTTTCGAGCGCATAGCATAGCTGGAGAAGAAAAATGGCTCTGAAATGCCATCACTGCGAGTAGAAAAAACCAGCCACCAACGACAAAAAAATAGACGGGATAAAATATAGGGGGGCATGAGGAGGTTAAAAAGGGGGGAAAAGTAATCATTGCAATTTAAGGCGGATAATCTGCATCGGAGAAGGCCACGGCTACGGCCATGGAGGAACAAAGGCAGCTCGCAGTGAAGGAGCCGTATTTCAGTTCCAGTTTCAGTATTCAGAGTCCCCTCCAATGCAAATATGCTGTCTGTTTGTCTGTCCGTCTGTCTGCTGGTCTTTCCTGCCACCTCCCGCTCTCTGCCGTGCGTGAGTGGACACCATTTGCAATTTTCACACTCGCTTTTCGTCCTCCGCTCCTTGCTCTGCATTCGCTCTGGGGCCTCCACCGGGTTTGCTTCTTTTTTTTGTGCAAAAGAAGGAGCGCAGGCGGCAGTCATGCAGATTACAATCGAAATGACATGAAAATGTTTAGTGTGGCGTGTGGCAAGCGAAAAAAAAGAAACGCGAGGGAAAAGAAAAGTGAGAGAACGCAAAAAAAGGCGAAAATCGTGGCGGTGGCGGTGGCAATGTCAAGCGGCGGGCAACGAAAGAAAAGTGTTGCACAGTATCTAGGGGCAGCCAGCCCGGAGGGTTGGCATTCAAAGATAATGTCTGCCACAGGCAACGCGGGGGCATTGCAATTGCAATTGCATTATATGCAAAAGAAGAATAATGTCTTATTCGATTGTCGACGATCGCCGCGCGCCCCGCGCCCGGCAAATGCAATTTAAATTTGTAACACATCAAAAAAGGTGTCCTTAAAGACGGCACACGCCATCGGTGCTGGCCGTTTGACCCACACCCATAATTCAGTTAACAAAACACCTCTCGCTACAAATGATTTGATGGACCAATCAGCAGGCAATTAACCCACATTCAAGGCACTGCGCTGCTGTCAATCGATAGACTACAAGTGTGCGCTGTAAAAAATTGCATTAGTATTTCCAGCATATTCCAGCAAATTAGTGAGAGAGAAAGCCAGAGACAGAGCAGGAGCAGGAGCAGGAACAGGAGCCAGCAGCTACCAGATACAAATTGCAGTCAGTCTGTTGCTGTTGTTGGCTGTTAAATAAACTCAATCGAAGCATTAAATAACGCCAATAAGCACACAACAAATAGACCAACACACAAAAAAGTTGCTCCTCCTCTGTGTTGCATGCCACTGACAGTTGCTGATTGAAAGTTTGCTCGAGAGAGGGAGAACGATGGAGAGATAGAGAATATTTGCCTCTTGTCAACAATAAATATTTTGTGTATTTTGATCAAATTTTGCAAATCAACAGAATTTCCCAAAGTATTTTCTGTTGTTGTTTGCTTCACAAATATTTCAGGGGCGGCAGTCTGTGCTTTCCAATAGATCAAAGAAATAATTGTATATAGATTTCATAATTAATTAGTTTAATTTTTTATAGTTTGTCAAGCATTTGTCAACGTTATTATGCAAATAAATATTTGTGTGTGGAAATTTCATTGCCAAAAATAACACAAAAAGAAAGCAAAAGCAAAATTGTTCCGACAACAATTATTTGTAAGTTAGCAGCGTCAGTTTTGTGGGAAACTCCATAAATCTTGTGCAGCTTTCATTGCGTCATAAATTTGAAATGCCATCAACAGCAGCAGTGGCAGTGCCAGTGGGGGTGGCAGTGGCAGGAAAGAACAAGCAAAAAAAAAACAAAGCCGAGTTGGCATGTCGCTGGCCCTGTTACTGTTGCCATATCTGTTTGTTGAACGCCCCTGTTGTTGGGGCATGCCACACAGCACCCGCTGCTTCCAGCTCTCATCCTCGTCCTGGCCCTGGCCAAGGCAAACAATCAATTTATGCACACACACACACACACACACACAACCTTCGCTTTTACATATAAATTTGTGCATGTTTTTTTTTTTGCTGTACTCCAATTTTTTGGTTCGCTTCATTGTGTGTGTGTGTGTGCAAATATTTGTTAACTTCATTTGGTCTGAATTAAATATAATTTACATGCATGCTTGTTTGTCCTTGTCCGTTGGTAGGACTATGCCTGCCTCATGTTGCATGCATCGTGGCGCGCATTAGCTCGCTCTCTCTCTCTCTCTCTCGGCATTATTGTTGACATTTCGGCTTAAATTATCCGAGGCAAGAGAAGGGTTCAACGCAAATTACACGTGCAAATGAAGTGAAATTCAACTTTTGTGCAATTAAAAATGAATTTCAAACAAAAATTCGATGCGAAATTGTTCTGTTTGGCTTTTCAGATTCCCCCAGCTTAGCCCATGAGGAAAGGAAAATTTCAATCGCATTTGCATGCAGTTAATTGGTTTGCCGCACACAGGAACTAGGCAAATGTGTTAAGAACACGAACGCATTGCCCCATGAGTCATCCGAGCAAGAGCTATCGATGTGTGTGTAATAACAAAAGTCCCATTTAAGTGCAGGAAAATTGTTTCGTCATTATTGGGAATTACTCTGAACATTTGCCTGATTTCTACTAACTTTAATATCATTTTAATACAATTAAAATGTTCCCTTTTGTTGTATTTACTGTTGGCCTGTGCTTGGGTTGGGTTGGAGGCCACATGGAATTAAGGTTAAGCACTACAATTTGTGTTAATCAACATCCGGACGAGCCCATGGGCACCCTTGGCACATTGCAACATTAACATAAATTAGTTTCATGTAATTTATTTAGTGCGACAAAGGCACTTCCTTGCTGCCACAAATCGAAGCTGAATTATGGCCCACAGCTGGTTGTAGTTCCCACAGTTTCTTCACATTTTCTTCGCATTTTCTCCACATTTTCCCTGTCAGTTTTAGTGGACCAAATTGATGGCTTTCTTTTTGCTTTTGGCCAAACCAAGTACGAACTAATTTTTATGCAATTTTTGTGTGTTTGCAGGGCCGCTGTAATCGTGAGAAACCGCCGTGCAAATATTTTCATCCACCACAGCATCTGAAGGATCAACTATTGATAAATGGACGCAACCATTTGGCCCTCAAGAATGCACTGATGCAACAGATGGGCATTGCGCCCGGCCAGCCGGTCATCTCGGGCCAAGTGCCAGCTGTGGTAAGTGCTTGGCTCCTTTCCCTAATACTTTAATTGAATTCCCAACACTGTGGTTGGTGGCCAGCGGGGAGAAGAGTTCACAAAATATGAATATTTATACAGAAGATACCGACCCTCAATGACCAGCAAAAAGAAATTCACGAAAATGATTCCAAGATAGGAAAGGAGGAAGACGCAGAAGAATGTTTTATTCATGGTTTCTGGTAGCACAAAAATAGAATGGGGAAAGGGTTAAACGAATCGAAAATTAATTCTCAAATAATTTGAGGACATTATTTTTTGTGTAGATTTCACAGCTAAACGGTAGCCCCATGGGGGAAGGGGAAATGCTTGGAATGTATTCCATTAGTGTTGGGTCGAGCGATTTATGTCTTTATGTGGCATAATTTGATGGAGAGGACAGAAATAGACAAGTGAAAGCTTAAATCATTTATGAATATACCCAAAAATCGTATATATTTTGCAGGCCACAAATCCATACTTGACTGGGATACCAGCCAACTCGTACAGTCCGTATTACACAACAGGACATTTGGTGCCCACTTTGCTGGGACCCGATCCATCGGCTGTGGCCTCACAGCTGGGCCCTGTGGTGCCGCAGGCGGTGCAGGTGCAACAACAGAAAATACCACGTTCCGACAGATTAGAGGTGAGTTCTTATCCCCACCCTCCCCGTCCCGCCAAACCACAACAAAGAGCAAAATGCTGCTGCTGCTGCTGCTGCTAATGCTGCCAGCGTGCATCGATGCTTACATCTTTATGTCTACATTATGAATCGACTTTTATTGTGACTTAATTTACGCTTACGTTTCGTTTTACGTTTTACTATTTTACTTACATTTATTGTACGTTTTTTTTCTGTTTGTGTCGCGAATGAAAAAAGCTAAAACAAAGAAAGAAACAAAGAAACTTGAAGCCAAAAGCGAAAAGCGAAACCAAAACGAAGGCTTGAGTTCTGTTTCCGTATTCGTTTCGTTTCCGTGGCATGCAACACGTGTTACCGTTTCGTTTTTACTGTACTTTTACTTATATTTAGAATTAATATTGAAACTAAAATATGTGTTATACAACACACAAAGACATTGTACAGTGTTTTGAGTTCCCCTGTGTTCTAAAAACAAAAACAATCTGAAAATCTGACAACGTTGTAATAATTCGCCAATAACCAGAATTGATTTGACATTTGACAATTTTGACACACACTCACACACATTCGCATAAAAAATAAAAATAAAGAACGCCAAATTTGAAGCCACCCAATCTTGATGTTATTTCTCTAACAATTTGTTTTATGTTTCGTTTTTTTTTAAGCTCGTTTTTATTTCTCTCTCTCTCTCTCTCTTCGCTCTCTTTGGAGTCCTCTCCAATATGTGTATATTTTTTGTGTTTAATGGTTTTACGGATCTCTCGATCCGTTTGCCCAGCAGCTGCTGCAAAAGATGCAAAAGGCTTCCGATTTCGAATTACCCCATGTGTATATAGAGGAAAGAAAACTTTCAACAAAAGTTCCACAATTACATGCACCTGATATTCTCAAATTATGAATTTATTTTCATTTTGTGTTATTTTAATATCGATTTTTATCTGACCGAGGGATAGATCTTACACCTAAATCGCCCTCTACCCATAGATGTCAACCAATACTCCCTTCCGGAATGTAAATGTTAATAGAAATAATTACCTTACCCCTCCGCTAGAAGACACTCTCACTCTCTCTCTGTCTCTATCTTTTTTTCTCTCTACAACAACAGTCCAACGCCAGCCCCCGAGCTCCTTAATATTTTTGTGTTGATATTTTTTTAGTTTTATTTTATTTTTGTTTAATCCTTGCATTCTCGTTGTTCTCTCTCTCTCTCTCGCTCTCTCTGTCTCTCTGTCTTTTGTTTGTTTGTGCTACGTGTTTCTCTTGTGTTCTCGTACTCAAAATGTGCACCCCAACCACCAAAGCCAAATTGAAAATTGAAAAACTAATCGGCATGAAGCAAAAAAATAAACAACAAAAAATACGATTCCAAGAGCGCAAGACTCCAATCGAAAATCTAACCCAAAAAGCTAAAATGCAACCACAAATATCGGCTCTAACAACAACAGCAACAACTAAAACACTTGCCTACGAATCGAAAATATGACCAAAAACTATTTTTAAATATAAAACAAAAAACCAAAAGAAATGAACTTGTTACTGAATATCCTTCCATTATTTCCAAAAACCACAAAAAAACAACAACAACAACAACACACAAAAAACTCAACCACAAAACACAACCAACCAAACACACACACACACACACACACACACCACAAACACCTTCTCCGCCTAAAACCACACCACACACACCACCACAACCACCAACAACAACAACAACAACCGAAACACCACCTGAACCACTCTGAAACCAACCAACCACAACTGCTGCCACTTTTGCTATCCGCTGCCAACGCCCGCAACCAACCAACCAACCAACCAACCAACCAACCAACCAACCAACCAATCTGCAATCAACTTTACGCCAACTTCGAACGATCCATGCTCGACTCGATTCCACACCACGATCGAACGAACACAATGATGAATTTCAACAATCAACAATGAAATGTGCCTGCGTTCGTGTGCGTTGTGCGTGCGTGCGTGTGTGTGTGTGTGTAGGTGTGTCGCGAGTTCCTGCGCGGCGCCTGCAAGCGCGCGGAGTCTGAATGCCGGTTCGCACACCCTCAGGAGAGTGTCGCACGCCATGACGATGGCTCCATCACGGTATGCATGGACGCTGTGAAGGGAAGGTGTGCCCGTGATCCCTGCCGCTACTTTCATCCCCCCCTGCACCTACAGGCACAATTAAAAGCGGCCCAAACACGCGCCACCGCTGTCGCTGCTGCAGCTGCGGTATGGCTATATACTATATATTTTCTCAATACTTTTTTTCCCCCCTACCTGCCCACAACCTTTTTCTTCTTCAAATTTTTCGTTTACCCCAACACAATTCCCCTCTAATTTTGTTGGTGTATTTTTTTGTGTTTTATTTTTTCTTTGTTTATGTTTCTCCTTTTTGTTTAAGCCGCCAAACGTTTTTGCCTTTATTCGTATTCCCATGTTTGCTGCCTTTTCACTAGCGCTGATTCTGTTTCCGTTTCTGTTTTTTCCAAAATAACTTCAAACAGAGATATACAACACTCAACCTTACTCCTGCACTAACACACGCCACACAAAAAGAATGCCATAGATAGATACATCTATGCATCAATATATACATATTTAAATCCCTCCCAAAACGGTACCCTCTCTATGAATTTGTATGTACGTAGAATAGCCAAACATTTAACGTTTTCCGACTGCCTTAGGCGTTCGTTCGCTAGTTAGAAAATAGTTGATTGAATTTGCTTTAACTTCCAGTCAAATTGTTAACAATTTCTGTGTGTGCGGAGGAAGGAGGCGAACTCCCTTCGTAATTTAAAGCAAATTTAATTACAACTTCACGCTGCATGCAAACAATTTAATTAACTTTATATGCAAGCCATGCCCCCACACAAAGCCCCACAAACCAAATATATTACACACATATTAATTCTGTCTCTCGATAAATAACTGTTCCTAACCCAAAGAGCAAATAATATATAAAAATGGAGATTATTCTATTTGTGTTGCATGTTCAATGAGCGAATCATCGCCGGTGGGAATATGAATATGAATATTAAAACAGAATCAATAGAGCAGATATCCAACAGATAGTAAATCTATCATTCTTTTCATTGGATTTATGTACGTGTTTGAATTAAAAAATAGTATAAAGAATCCCTCCCTACATTCCAGGCAGAAATTATTTGAATTATTCAGAGATTAGTTCTCACAAATAAATATCATATTTTATTTGGCTATGCTTGGAAGCTCTATAGGTCAGTCCACAGTCGCGGTGGTGGGTTTATTTTGTACAATTTTGGTCGTAAAATTTTATGGCTAATTGAAAAATCATTAAGTTAAACTTAATGGATATTTATACAAGCCAAATGAATTTGTTTCACACCCAATAATGCTATATTATGTGACACCATCGTGAAATAGGCTGAGCGGTGAGAGTTTTTGCATACTCTAAACACCGCCCTCCCCACGGTCCGCCACGAAGTTAGATATTCCTTTTGTTGATCGAGTAATAAATAATTAAATGCTGATAAATTATAATTTCTGAGCGAAACAAACACCCGAGCCAAAAATAAAGGTGGAAAGCGGAATATAATCCCGGTACTGGAGTGATGGAGTGCTGCAGAGGGGGGAGGAGGCAGGCAGGCAGGCAGGCAGGCAGGCAGACAGGCAGGCAGGCAGGAGCAACATGGAAAATATGTTGAGGCTCGCATAAAACACGCCATAAATGTTGATTTTCGTTCGGGCCAAAAATTAACATTTATTATAACGCGTTAAAACTTTGAGCACGCAGCCAGCCAGCCAGAAAGAGAGAGAGAGAGGTAGAAAGCGAGTGCGAGTGCGAGTGTGAGTGTGAGTGTGTGTGTGTGTCTGTGCTGTGTCATGGGAAAGAGGCAGTAAGGACAGAGGCGTACAAACACACAAACACACAAACACACACACACATATGCATGGTTGAACGTACGTGATTGCCACGTGTGTGTGCCATGGACTCTGGGCCATGGTATCCGTATCCGTGTACGTGTACGTGTACGTGTCCGTGTCCTGGCTGCCAATGCCGTCGTACTTAATTCGCGACTTAATTGCTTTCTGCTGAAAATTTATTTGACGCAACAAACAACAACAACAGCAACAGACCATGTTGTCGCAGGAAACAGGGCGCCAGGATGGCAGGGTTCCAGGGTGATGCAGGAATGCAGGGGAAACTCTGCTGGTAGATGGCATGGCACACATAATTGCAGCATAATATCGCATAAAGTGAAAAATTGTTGCAGCATTTTAGGCGTAATTCAATCGACGCTTTTTCCGGAAGGAAGCCACTCCCCGACAGACGTGATTATTGTAGAAAAATTGTCCTTTGACACACACATACTGTATACTGTAGAGAGCAGAGCATACCCATAATTGTATTTATGGGTCGTCCTCGCTTAATGCGATTATGGCTCTGAAAAATGAAAAGAAATTAAACGCTTACCTTGTTTCCACCCCCTTTCAACATACATTTATTTTTTGTTGTTTGCTTTAAATGGATTATTTTGATATCCCTTCCCTTCAGTCGTTTACGATGTTACATGCTTTACCGTAGCTTGCCGTAGCTTTTCCCTTAGACATCTTGAAAACCCAACAAAATCCAACAACAAAAATGTACCTTAAGTGCTTAGAGGTGACAATAAGAAATAGTATCGTATCGGGCTGTTGATATCCGATTTAACCGGCATCAGAATCACATATTATAGTCTGTAAAAGTTGATCGACCGATGCAGCGCTGCTGTTTCATATGAATTATAACCTTCATTTATCCATTATATCTACCATTAACTCTTCAATAGTTCATTTCTCACTCTCTTAGTGTTAAAACTGTATTAAATATCTGAAATATATTTTTGTATGGGCTACCATCATTAGGGGTATTCCTTGCATGACAAAAGTGAATCTATTCAATGTTTTTATCCCCTCATTCAGCCTATATATCCATGTATATATATATATATCCATGTATATGTATCCCAATACTCAATCCCAACAAAAACAGAACCCGAAACAAGGAAAAACACAGAACACATGAAACTTTATTTCGTATTTATGATTTTCCCTACGTTGAAAAGCGCTCGAGTTTTCTTTATTATGATTCTTAGTGTGTGTATTCTGGGTCGCCCATATGTCAATCGTGTGCCACCTGCCGCGTCGACCGAACTATAAGCCTGACATGTAAGCGTGACGCGAGCATCCCTCCTCCGCCCGAGAAGCAGGAAAGCAAAAGAGGGAGAAAAACTGTGGAACCAGCCCACACCCCGTGCCAGTCCGGACTCTTTCTTTTTTGTGTTTTCTGTGGCAGTGGCCAAAAATGTAAATGTCAACCTGTACTGTGGCCCCCATTCACACGGGACATGGGACAGAGGACACAGGACATGGACACGAACGACATGGATTAGTCGGGCAGGATAACGTTTGAACCGGAAAATTAACTAAAAGCAGAGATTTCCATGCCAATGAATTGTCCAGCAGAGATGCTGGTCCGATGCCGCAACTGAACACAGAGGCGGCGGCCGGCCTGTCGGCTGCGTTTTTTATAGACTCGACGACCCCAATATCCAAGCACACAGAGACACTCCACACGCACACACGCACACATGGACACATACACCGAAGCTGTCGCGCCCAAGCGAATTAATCCATTTGTAGCATTCATTGCCAGTGACACGACACGGTAGCGACCCAAAGAAACAAAAAAAGGGAAAAAACAAGCAGCTACATCTCCTTCTCTGTCACTCTCTCTCTCTCTACCTCTCTCTTTCTCTCTGAGTGCGAGTCCATTTAAATGCAAATTTTGTGCACTTCCTGCCTCCTGTGCACTGCCCCCAAATGTATGCTAAGGTTTTTGTACCCTTTTACTTTGTATTTCTTTTTCCGTGTAGATTTTTTTCTTCTGTTTTGGGCCTTAGTTATTAGACAGACATACACACACATTGTTGCGGGGTATGGAGAGCCCCAATTGTGGTGTTAAGCGCATTAGCATAGAGCTCTGTACCTAAATTTATGGCTATCCCATGGCTTCGGGGCGGGAATCGGGTCATATCTTGCTTAGTTTTATGTATACATATTTTCTGTGAATATGCAACAGCAACGGTGCATCGGTAGGTATAACGGCACATAGCGAATCTTTCTAAACAAAATCGTTCAGCACGATCTCCCCAAACCAAAAACAAAAACAAAAACGGTCCATCCGTATGTGTGTCAAAAGTCAAATCGATTGTTGGATTGCGAAAACCAAAACGTATGCGATTTTGTTGCGTTTCCAAGTTTTTAGCATCTAAGTTAGTTTTAAGTTAAGTTTTAGAGTTTAAGACAGAAAGAATGCTCTCTCTCTCTCTCTCTATCTATCTCCTTAACTCTCTATCTCCGTCTCTATATCTATCGCGGTTTTTTGCCAGCTTTGCAAGGCTTATTTTTGGTTATCAAATATTTTTCTAACTACACTGGCTTTACACTCACGCGAAATTAATTTGTGTTACGCTTTCCACTAAATGAATTTTAAATGACATTTAGCTTATTTAAGGTCGAGCGATATTCAAGCGGAAATCACGTTTATTTGTTTTGGGAATTACAGTTGATTTCTGCTTGATTTATCCATGAATATTCTCAGCCATATTATCCTACCGAATATATCTAAAAAAAAAAAAAAAAACAATATAAAATAAACGTTTGATTTGTTTCTATTATTTTACTTATCGAATATCAAAACACTTTTCCGTACTCTTCTACTATTATGTATTTTTCATCTGTTTGCACAAACGAAAACGCACAAATACAAATACAAATACACACACACACCCACACACACATACTGCAAACGCTTCAACGATGGATGGCACACACTCATACAAAAACCGCACAAAATAAACGCAAAACCAAAAAAAAAAACAATAATTGCAAAACTGAAAAAAAAATCGAAATTGAACACACAATTAAATAATTGATGGGAAATGGAAAACATATGGAAAACAAACCATTGAAAAATGTACAACAAAAAATAATAATTAAATTGTGACGACACCCCATTAAAAATGGAATGCGGAATCTCCCACTCTCTCTCATATTCAATTCATATTTACAAATACGAAAACAACACGCACACACATGGACATACACACACACACGCACATACAGACCTCACCTGTTACGGCACACCATCACCACGCACACCACCACCAACAGCAACAACTACAACAGCAACAACAGCAACAGCAGTTGCAACAACAGCTGAACAACATCAACAACAACAACAACTGCAGTGCAGCAACCACATCAACAACAACAACAACCACAAACAACGCTGCCGCTGCTGCTGCCGCCGCCGCCGCTGCTGCCGCCGCAGCCGCCGTCATGGGCCATCACCATACAGCAGCACTGGAAGTGGGCAAGAAGCGGGCAGCGGACACTGATCTGTTTCCACTGGTATTTTTCTTTTCCTTTTTTTGCCCTTTGTGTTTCCATTTTTTTGTTTTGTTTTTTATTTTCGAACTCCCATTTTTTGTGGATTAATTTTCGTTTCGTTTTCATTTGAGTTTTCTCTTGAATTGTTTAATGCGTTTGGTTTTTAATTCTTTTGTTTGTTTGTTGAAATAGTTTCCAATTTAATTTGCATGCTTTTAGGCGGGTGAAGAATTAATTCACTTAAGCTAAGGATTTTTCCAGCCACATCCCCCCGCCACCCCTTGCTCCACCCCAAAATAATAATAATAATGATAATGATCTGTTATTGATGAACCTTCCGTTTAACATCCGATTGATGCATTGCCACGGACTCAGACTAGACTACTTTTATCCTCCACATCCTGATGGAATGCACTCCAACTTTCACCGCTAACCACAAAGCCCTACACAGTCATTCATTCATTCATTCATTCATTTAGTCACTCAGCTGCACATCAAAGTGCTCTCAATTAACGTTTATTATCAGACGGCCCGCCCGCTGACATTTCATTTACGGAATGAATTCATTATCTGATACATCAAAAGCGCAAATACACACTAACAGCGACGCTGACACACTCACACTCTTGATTAGTGTGAGACGGACAGACAGACGGACAGGCAGACAGACGGACGGACAGCATTCATTGGCACATTCCACAGTGTGGGATACCTTTACATTTAACCAATTATCAAGCCGCATATCATTCCCTATGATACATCACAATCACAGAGCACACACACACAAAGGCACAGAAGCACACACATACACACGCTCGCAATCAATTAATTCATTCCACCTGGCGAAAAGTGTTAATTAAAATGATTTACCCGATAATTGCGCCAAGGCTGTAGAGCTCTTCTTTCTTTTGGCTTTACCTTCTGCCTTCTGCTTCAGCTTCAGCTTCAGTCGCTTCAGTCGCTTCAGCTATCCTCTTAGCTGCTGCCATGGGCTGTGCTTAATTGTTTAAGTGCTTTTCCTGGTTAATTAGTTGCAACATGCATTTAACGCGAGCACATATCCTTGTTTATCCCTTCGCCATATCATACTACACACACACACACAGTCACAGTCACACATGCACACTAGTTAGGACTAAGTATATATATATATATCTTTATACATGTATATGTAACTGTATTGCCTATGAATTTAATTGATTGAACTGTGCAGAGGATATATCCACTAATTTCATTTGTGTTCTTCTCTCTCTCTCTCTCTCTCCCTCCCTACCTCTTCATTTTACTCTTCCACACATCAACAAACACACACACACACACATTATTCTCTCTCTCTTCCACTCTCTCTCTCTCTCTCTCAATCAATCTGCAATCAATGTGTGTGTGCGCGCCTAACCCTCTGATCAACCACATCAATCAACAAATTCCGTTATAATCCCAACAACAACTACAACAAAAATCTCAAAATTCATTCACTAACTGAATAATCAACCAAAACCGAAAACCAAAAACCAAAACCAATCCGATAAATGCCACAAAAAGATGGATGTTAAAACGGTTGGTTCATTTTACTATGAAAACTTCGTAAGTACTCCAAAAAAAAAATCACAAAACGATCAATTAAAATATTTTATACACACTATAAAATATATCTGCAAAATATATGCAAAACTATAATTTAGTAAATAAATAAAACAAAGCAGAGTCTCACATCAACTGTAGACAATTTTCAGTTCAAGCAAACAGATCATTGTGGAAACACAGCTTTTCCGCCCACACCCTCGCCCAAATATGCACGGAAATTTCGCTTCGAATTCGCTTTCATTCATCGTTTCGTTCTGTTATAGTTTTATCTATATTTTATGTTGTTTAAATAGACAGAGTATGTGTATTTATTTTTTTGTTGTTTAATTTCTGTCTCTCTACCTCTCGTTGACGAACAAAAATTGGCAATAGACAAAAACCGGCACAAGAATTATTGTGGTTCAAAATTTGAAACAAATCCCGAAAATCAAGCTCGTTTTTAAGCAATTAATTGTTATAATGTGCCTATGGTTAGATGTAGAGACTAACTAAGTTAAAGCAACTAAATTAAAGCTAATGTATCTCTTTGCATATCTCTCCCTCTATATCTCTCTCTCTGTTAGCAATTCTCTGGAATGGTACCGTTCAAACGTCCAGCTGGAGAGAAGTCTGGCATTCCAGTGTATCAACCCGGTGCGACTACGTATCAGCAGCTAATGCAGCCCTATGTACCAGTCTCATGTGAGTATCCCCAACAACAACAACAACTACTACAACAACAACAACAACATCAACAACAACCACAACAACAACAACAAGTACTAGTACTACAACAACAACAACAACAATTAGCGTTAAGTAGCGCCATAACAACAACAACTACAACAGCAACAACAACAGCCAGTAATAATATTAATAATAATAATAATAACAGTAATAATGCCATTCACGTAAATGCTGTAATTGCTACTGCTAACAATCCATCATCAATCACCACATCAATCGATCAATCAGCAACAGCAGCAGCTGCAGCTGCAGCAGCAGATCCTGCTAATAATCCCAGTGACGATAGTCACGATAACAGCGATAACAATAACGATAACGATAAAGCTGATACTGGCGATGATGATGTTGCTGCTGATGAAAAAGAGAATGATAATCCACAAGACAGTGAGGATCCCAATAAGACATTGAATCCAAATCCAAGTCCCGCTATCGATTGTAATCCAACACACACAACAGCAACAGCAACAGAAGCTGCAACAGACACAGACATAGACACACAAGAGACACCTGCAACAGCAGCAGCAGCAGTAGCAACATCATCCAATGGTAGCTCTCCCGCCCCCTGTCCATCCCCAACCACAGACAGCAGCCCTCTGCCCCTGCCCCAGGCTCAGCCACTGCCACCGAATGGCGATAATAACAATTACTTGTCCTATATCAATAACAATTTAACCAATGGCCAGCGGATCAAGTCCACCAGCCCACCCGAAGAGGCCTACAATGGCGAGCCAGACAACACCCCATCAGCCGTGGCAGGAGCAACCCTGACCGCGGCTCCTCGCAGCTATAGCAAACACAATGGCGACGCCTATCAGAGGAGCACCAATGTCACATACTCCATGAATGGCCACAGCACTGGGATTCTGCCCACACCCACCAGCACAGCCCCCACAGTGTCGTATCAGTCCCAAGCGCAGGCACAGGCACAGGCACAGGCCCAAGCACAGGCCCAAGCCCAAGCTCAAGCGCAGGCCCAAGCTCAAGCCAGTTTGCAGCGCATCAACTATGCCATGCCCGCCTATAGCTACGCCAATCTGTACTCTCCCTACAACAGCGGCACCTCCTCCATCGTGAGCATTGCAGGCAACACGCCCTCCTATGTCCAAGCCCAAATGCAGCAGCAGCAGCAGCAGGCGCAACAGCAGCAACAACAGGCACATGCCCAAGCCCAAGCCCAGGCCCAGGCCCAGGCTCAGGCTCAGGCACAGGCCGCCTATGCTCAGCAGGCATATGCCGCATATGCAGCAGCCGCTGGACTCACGCCACAGCCAACGGCAGCAGCTGGCGGCTACTATGCCGATCCCGCTGCCCTGGCCAAGGAGGTGGCCCAAAAGAACTATGCTCTCAAGGTGGCCAGTGCTGCCTCGGCAGCGGCCAAGCCGGGGTCCCATGCGGCTGCCGCCTACACAGGCATGACCCTCAACAAGGGGTATGTGGCCGCTGCAGCTGCTCCGCAACCCGTTCAGGCGCCCCAACCACAGGCCGTCTCCATGGCCACCCTCCTGCAGATGCAGGCACAAGCGCAAGCCCAAGCCCAGGCACATGCCCAGGTCCAGATGCGGCATATGGGATCCCTGCCCAATTCGGGCATGTCCACACCCATGGCGCCGGGCACGCCCCTCCGCTCGGCATCCGCTGGCGGAGCCCAGACCCAGCAGTACTTGTCTGCAGCTGGTGCCGCCTCTGGCGCCCTGTTGCGTGCCCCATCGCCCATGCAGTATGCCGGCGCCCAGGGCTACTTCTACCCGGGAGTAATGTCCGGTCCGACTGCAGCCGCTGCCGGATATGCTGCCTATGCCATGCCCTCGAGTCAGGCGGCAGCGGCTCAGCAGTATGCCGCAGCAGCAGCAGCTGCCGCCGCAGCGGCTGCCCAGGGGGGAGCACAAGGTCTGAATCCCTACAAAAAGATGAAGACATCCTAAAAAGTAGACCCAGCCGTCCCAACACAAGACACAAGACACAACTGTACTTAAAAGCTCTCCCGTTAACGAAGAACTCGAACATCGAAGACGTAAGAAATAAATGTGCCTCAGAAGTAGAACGATTAGACTTTAGTTTGTAGCCCCCGAACCCATCAAAGAAGCGATAGAGAGCATCCATGACACACACACAAGATAGAGGTGAAAAGGCTTTTTGAAAAAGCTTTTCCCCAACATGCACTAACACAAACGCGCGCATTCGCATGCTGTACAAAAGAAAAGATATCGCTGCCCCTGGACCCGCCCCAACCCCAACCCCCTCTTACTAACACATATGCCGCGCAGCTTGCAACACAACGAAAAGAAAACTTTTTTTGCCATTAAGTTATTAACGAAACGAAACGAAACACAAACCTCACAGTGGTCTTGAGCTGTTGCCATTATTCTCAAAATGCAAGAAGAAGCTTTCAAAAAGCTGCCACGAAAACAGAAAGAACAACAAATGTTATGTTAGATGATAGATTTACTTAAGTTCCTTCTCTGGTTAGCAATTAGTCAAACACTAAACGGAAAAAAACACAAACGAAGATATGAATAGGGATCGGCACTGGCAATGGGAAAATAATGTGATAGAAAACACACACAAACACCCCCCACTCACTCACCACTCCCGCTCGCTACGGCAAGCAGATTCAGAGAGAGAGTAAAAACAGTGCGCTCTCCTCGCTCTCTGCTATGCTCCTACTCCTAACAGATCCCCACTGCTACTGCTGCTGTTACTGTTACTGTTGCTGTTGCAGTCGCACCCGCCCATACATACATAAATGCAGGCAGTACCGTTTCCATTCTATTGCTGCTTCACCCGTCATTCTCTTAACTTCTGCTCTCAGAAGGAGAGCGAGCTCTCCTACTCTATTGCTATCTCTCCTTAAATGTTTACTTAGATAGCGGCCATAAATATCGTGAATGCTGTTGTAATTGTTTAAATTAAATTGTTGAGCAACGAAGAGAATTGTGCATAACGTAACGGAATATTGTCTAGTTATATAGAATACGACTTATATACGATATACATACAAACATACATCAAAGCTGTATGCTGCTACTATCTACTATATATATATATATATATATATCACACACACACACCTCCACACTCTGTACTCTTCTGACACACACACGCTCATCCGCATACACGCATACACTATGAAAGTGACGAAAGAACGATCTGTAAATCGTACATCTATAGCCTACTAATCACAGATATCACTCTAACACTCACACATTCACCCACACACACACACACAGTCTGACACCTGTTGAGCCACCCTTCAAAATTAATTAATTCATTAATTAACATTATGTTTGTCAAAGATTTAAACCCGAAAATGAACTACGTACAACTTTTGTTTTCCTTTCGATCATCATCTCTGTCTATTAATTCCTCACCCCTCCACACACATACACACACACACACACACACACACACGTTAATGCTATCTTTCAATGTATTTCGTTCTTTCTGTTATCAAATGTTAAACAAAAAATATATAAAAATAAATTCATTGGCAAACAGAATTAAGTTTTTAATGTTAGATCTCTCGTGTGTGATTATCAGTTCTTTTCACTCTCTTCTATGTAATGTTTATGTTTTATTTATATACATTTATAATATACATTTTGATGTAAAAGAAACAATTTTCTAATGTAGTTCTTACATATATAATTTATTAAGAAAAACAAATATACATTTTGCCACTGACTTGCGCGCACACTCCTACATAAGTCTTAGATCCACTGTCCCCCCCGAGCATCCCACTGCCCCCTACCCTACATTTTGAAACAAAAAGAACACATCCTTACATTATGATATGATACTATAATCTCTCTATGTAAAATTGTTCTTCATTGAAGTACTTCTAATGTCGTTAAAACAACAACAGACTTTGATGTGTTTTTTTTTGCCACTAATTCTTATCCTAATTCTAATTCTAATTTATAGTTTCGATAGTTTTTATTAATGTTTTATTTGAAATATCGTGTTTTTACCTAAATATAGTTTACATCAAACAAAACAAAAATATATATCCTATTCTGTGTGTTGGTATTTTACTTTTTATTCGATTTGATTTAGTTTTCTGTTGTGCCGCTTTTCTCATTCATTCCAACCTTTAAATATTATGATATATCCGGAACATACGCCCCCCGCCCACAAACACACACCAAAACACACTCACACAAAGCATTTCCACACACTTGCGCTTAAACGGCAGAGCCAGCACTCGTATACACTCCTCGCCCCCTTTTAGAGCTTGAAGATCTACCCACGCCCCAACACCACTCGCTCTTTTTCATCATCTTCTTACATCCTGTATATGTTTTAGCTCTTAGTATAATGGCCATGGCAAAGCAAAATGAGTACGCTAACGGTAGAGATCTACATATATCTATAATAGTTGTAAACCTCTGAACAATACGCATATATCGATCGTATATATATATATTTATCTGTATCTGAATGTATGCCTAATGGGCCAGCTAATTGCTTGGCTTATTCTATCTATACTTGGATATCTACTTGATAAGAAAGATGCTTTAACATGCAGCGATGCAGTATCGAAAACCATACATAATTAGAACCAATTAAAGTATACCTATCTACATACATCTATGTCTTGTATCCTCTATATGTCTTGCCTAAAACGATGATAACAATTGTACATATGTGTGTTGTATGGTTACACCTTTTTTTTTTGTTCGTTAACAAAAACTACGCGAGAACCACGCAAGTGTCTAGAAAATCGATCTCTCTTTCTCTCTCTCTCTCTCTGAAACATAAACTAACAGCAAGAACACAATATCCACTGCATGGCGCAAACGATATACAATAACTAATTCGCATTCCAGAATCTACATAAGCATAATTTACTCCGCTTAAGCACACAAAATAAGACACACTTAATAACTGCTTCAAGTTACAATAGTAAGAGGAGCCTTTAACATTGGGATACAACAAATAATGCAATAAGTAAATGGCAATATAGCAACGAATACTTGGGATAAGATTGACTTTTTGCTGAATTTCAAAGTTGAATTTCTGAATTTTTGTAGAGCTGTTTGGTTTTGCCTTGTTTTCTCTCAACAGACACAGCAGTGAACCGTACCGTCCAAAACGTAGCAAAATGTAGTTTATTGGCGCACCATATATTTTTCATTTGTAGCAGAGAAGCACACAAACACACACACACAGCCACTTACACTGAGAGAAACAATATTAAGGTTAAGAGTAATATTTTGCTTTCATCATCGACCAAAGCAGCAGCGAGTAGAAAAGTGACAAAGCAAAAAATAATAATGGAAAATGAAAATGCATGTTGCATAAAAAGAAGAAAAAGAAGACGAACAGGATGTTTATTAAACAATTTAAATTCATGAATTATATAACCATACATACATACATATATAATGTACACACACGCCTGCCACACACCCACACACACACACGAACACAAGCAAGAAACACACACACACACACACACACAAACTTATGAATATATGTTATATGTATGTGCTAACATTAGTCGTACGATTATAAAAGGAGATAAACCAAAAACCAAAAACAAAACAACAAATTATATTGAAAATTATATTATATACGTTTTATTGTAAAAACCGTAAAAACAACTTGTTGGCTTATTTAACTCGAACATCGTCCCCTCGTACCACGAACCGTGAACCTTGGAAAGTGATCAAAACCCGAAACTAACATTCTCTGTCTCTCTCTCTCTATCTCTCTCACCCCACTACTAATACATAAAAACAACAGTTTGCTGTGTGTTGTCTCTTTCTCTCTCTCTATCTCTCGTACTCTGTTTGTTGGCTGTTTCAAATATATAGTTTGAGTTATTATTGATTTTAATTATTGTTATTATTTACTCATAAGTTGGTATTACTCATTTTGCTACGCGTGAAGCCACCTAAAATACTTGTACTTTTTCTTATGCTTCTCTCTTTCGTATTCTTTGTTTGAACAATCCTCAGAGCGGTCGTTATAGATCTCAATGTGTGCCGCTCTGCTCGACAAGCAAAATAACTTTTGATTTCCCTCACAAACAACACCCGAAAGACACACCCACCCACTTGAATCCTTTCGGTAGAACTTCTCCCTATAAACACACACAAACAAACACATTTTGCCAGAGAAATATTTCCTACTGTATTGCTTAAATAGATCAATATAAACCGGATACTCTCTAGAGTTAAGCGCTTTTTGTAATGTTTTCAAAGAAAATGCTTCGAATCATTTATCATTTTTGCCAACATATTAAGTGCCTTGATTTTGGTTTCAAACTATAGTATCTTCAAGGGCCCCTCGAAATACTTTATCTGCCAGATAAATTATGCACTAAATAAAATTAATTTATATGAGAATTAGAGCGGAGTTCGGAAGAACTTGGCAAAGAAGAATATAAGGCTAGTCCTTCCTTTTTTTCCATTTACGCCTTATGAACAAAATGACATCATAAGAACAGCGAAAGAGTAATGAGTGAAAGTGCTTTACGCTTACTTTGATGACTCACAAAATCTTAAGTGGAGTGCAAGATAAGTAAAATAATGACGAGCCAAATGGATTCTTCTTCTAGAACTTAACATCTAAGAAGATCTCAATTTTAAGAGATCTCCCCAAGATCTCAATTATTCCCAAAGATCTGTCTCTCTCTAGAATGTAAAAGTTTCCCTCGAAGCTTTTTCTTTCGTCTCATTACAAAAAAATAAGCTCAAGTGCAGTAGGAATTCTATCTCTCTCTCTCTCCTTCACATTATTCCCTTTCTCTTTCTGCTGTCGATCGCTGGTCGGATGTTTTGCGGGGTTGGGGGAAAGTACGTTCCTGTTCGACATTTAAATGTATTTGATTGATTTATGAGTTTAGATTGATTTCTGTCGTTTTATTGTGACTTTTTCCGTTTTGGAGCGTACATTTTTGTGTAATTTTTTCAGCATGTGCTCAATGAAAACCAGAACTTTTTTGTAGCAAGTATTCTACCGATTTGAACATGAGTATGATGTGGCTG